ATGTAGTAATGAGGTAGAAATGGTTTCAAAGAACAATGTTTGAACACACACCCAAGGTGGTGGTGGAATCTATGGAAACAAACAAAACTACTTGTGACCGCATGTAAACCACAAGAACCACTTGGGGCGAGGGGAGATGTATGCAAGCAAAGTTTCGGTTGGGAAATATTTTCTCCTCTTTGTACATCATGAGAAAACAAGGAATGACTGCATTCCCAACCTTAGTGGAGAACAGAACCATTTTATAAATATTTAACATTCTATAGGACTGATTCATATATTCTCACAAAATTCGGTTGCAAGGCTGACCCACACTGCCGACATTTTACGTATCACTGAGACAGGGAGGTGAAATTTTTCTGCTTTCAGTCTAATTGTCTTTGACAATTGCGGTGCCTGGTGCTACACTTCTTGTGTTGTCTTTAAAAATAGGGGAAAGAGTAGAAGCTTGTTCATTAAAGATGCAGTATCCCTGGTTCACAAAAATGTATCTGGCAGGTTCAAAATCGAATGTCAACCAAAGATCTTTGCAAAGGGGAAGGGTCAGTTCATGGATTGACTAGTCCCCAGGGCAGCAGCTTCTTTGGGTCTAGGAATATTACGAGCTCCGTGTTTACCAATGTGCTTTGAGTATAAATCTGCAAATGATTAAGGAAGAGAAAGCTTTCATCTTTTCCTTGAAAGAGAGAACCAAAACTGCCTCGTATTATGTGTGTATGTCCAGATAAAGATTATATAAACACATGCATGCATAACAAGATGAAAGGGCGTTAATGTTGTGGGAGACCACATGTTGATCTTTATGGCCCTCTATCCCCAGTTACACTCTTGGAATTTCTAGGGAAATGAATGGGAGATGCACAAGAGACTTTTAGGCAATCACATCAATGGAACTTGTGCACGTGGCCTGCCTAGTGAAGAAAGCATATACCTTTAGAGCAGTGTTTCTCAACCGTGTTGACTTGAAGATGTGTGGACTTCAACTCCCAGAGTACCCCAGCCAGCATGGCTGGCTGGGG